GGATAAATAGATGTACTCGTACGAAAAATCGAAGAGTCGAGAGAGAGAAAAAAAAAAAAGTCTTGGCCCGAGTCGTCTGTGTGTATTATACCGTCGCGCCAGTGCGGGGGTAGGAAAGATGTACGAGATTTGGAGAGGAGGAAAAGTTGGCGAGCGGATTGAATGTTTTCTCGTTGAGTTGGTCGGGGCGCGTGCGGAGGAATATAACGGGTACAGGAGGAACCCATGGCTCGTCGGGGGCGTATGGGAGAGGACGAGTTATTTGGTAAGCAGAGACTACGGGTTATTCTCGTGTGGTTCCCCGATGTGATGGGGGGTGTTTTTTCTCTTCGTCTCATTTGGTGTCTTATTGGTATATATATGAACTCGGGGAGTCGGTGGTGTACAAAAGTATACAGGGAAAGGTTTTGTCTCATTGTTGGAGGATGACTGGCGGGAATGGCTGTCCAACTTGAGTAAAGTATTGCCTGTCCCTTCCTTGGTAGCGATATACGGTTTCCGTTCATGTGGGGGACGGTGTAAAGTTGTTTAGCGCTTTTATCAGCTGTACCGGGTTGTTATTTGAGTGAACGGAATACATATAACATGTAGGAACTTTCAAAAGTAACTTTTGTTTCGAATCAAGTAGAATCGAAGGTATTTATTTTTATCTAATTAAGAGTATACGGGGAAAAGAGAGCATCCGTGGATTTGTACAATCACTTGGCATTTTTTCGCGTATTCTCCAAGGCATGTGCGAAAGAGAAAAATCTCCAATTTTGGGTGAACCAAAGTTATTGCTTTCCCGCATACAATTTCTCATTATGACTTCCACGAGAATTCTTGGATTTATTTGCAACAAATTAAAGAAAAACGAAAAAAAAAGCCTCTTAAAAGCATAATTATGAATGGAACTAAAGGTACTACACGAGTGTATGTTTTTCTGCACAAAAAAAGTGTTGTAACACCACTCCTAGTTACGAGGATAAAACCCTTTGTGAATTTTTCGGAACAGTCAAGCGCTTTTATTTCGCTGTGTTTCGTCTTTATACCTGCACACAAATGCAGACTACTTTGCTAGGACAATATCCAGCTGAGTGTATACCCTTTATTTAGCAACGAAAACGCTGAAAGCAAAAACAGTCCTCGGTTTCATGTAGCAATTTTTTTTTTTTTTTTTTTTCACCTTTTTTTTTCTTTTCATCCCCTCATTATACGCGTATGTATCCACCCTACAAAGTAAAAATACGTGTAAACGTATTAGGTATATATATTGTATACATAAATATCACACCAAGATGTGATCGTCTCTTGACTTCGTGGAGACGTACTTTGATGGAAAAAAAAAAAAAAAAAAAAAAATTATAAAGGTTGAATTCCAAAGAGACGAGGTGCGCGTTTACAAAAAAATTTTACAGCCGAAAACTTTTCCCTTTTTTATATAAGTATTTCCCTTATTTCTCGCGCGTACACGTATAACATTTGTAAAGTTGATTTATGTAACGCACGCGTGTATTTTTATGGTCCACCTTTTCTTATCATCCCTATACCACGTACAACATCATGTTACACTACCCACAGAGAGACGTAGCATCGTTTATTCATTCAAAGGAAAATTTTTGTAGAGATACACATTGAGATTTATTCCTTGTGAGCAAATGGCAAATGAACTCGAACATTTATTGACGGCAAAATCCTTGGAGACGTATCGCGTGAAATTATTGTTATCTCAAACCAAAACCCACCGTGACTCACTCCACTTGTGGCAGAAATTAAAAAAAAAAAAAAAAAAAAAAAAAGGCGTTGGTAAAAAATACATGTACAAGCTGTAGTAGTCTCGGTAACGCACTCCGGCTGGCGAAAAGTACTCGCCCGCGAGCATAAAATTCCTGTCATCCCCCGGTAAGTATCGAGCGCCCGCACCCGAATCGCGCCGCGGGAAAAGTGCATAAGCAAACACGATTTTCAGGCTCTCTCACTCCCTCTGTTATTTGCACGCATGCACGTATGTACTTACTTATATACTTACACGCTTACTAACGGAATAGTATTCGGATTTCACTCGATTCGCGTCACACCGGATAAAGAGGAATTACAATAGAACACCTGCGTTGAGCTCCTCCCCCCCTCCCCCCAATTTTTTTTTTATTTTTTATTTTTTACAGTGTCGGACGCACGGGCTCCGTTTCTGTTTTCCTATTTCAATTGTCTATTTGCAGCGAGTGTACGGATGAAATCTTGTTTTTGCGTTTTACTCTGTCTTTGCAGCGGAAAATTCTCGCAACAAAAGTATAAAAAAATAATACATTTTAGGTGTACTTTATAAGACGATTGATCACGTAACAGTTGGGTCGGATTAAAAACCTATAATTAAATTTCCCACCTAACGACGATGGTGGTGCAGGGATCTCGTTACACGCGATAACTGGCCCTTCCTGAAATACAACGAACCCGAAAAAAAAAAAAAAAAAAAAAAAAAATTGGATAATCGATCGGACAAGGAAACGAGCAAAACTGCTATATACGCGAGCTTCGTCGAGCGGGTAGGGAGGGAAAGGGAACGCAAATTCCTCGATGGAAATTCAATATTTAGCTTGCACCTCTCTTTCTCGTCCTGCATTTATATATGTGTGTACCTTGTATATATATATACTCCCCTGGAAATGCATTCAACGCAGCCCTGCTCTCCGGGAATCTTTTATTAAATTAACCAATCGGATCTATTTCCGCTATCATGCCTATCCTGCCCCGATCAACAAGTTTCTTCTTTTTTTTTCTTTTTTTCCATTTGTTTCATATATACAATGTAAGTATACACTTGCTCTCAAAATCGAGACGTCTTTTCACTTTTACACCGCGAAAAAAAAAAAACACCAACTCTGACACGTATGGGTATATTCTACACTTTTGGAAATAACCCGCGTGACCATCAGTCATTAATTGCCCATCGGTATTTTTCACCCCCGCGAGTGTTTCTCTCCTCTCGTGAAAATCGTCCCGATTTGCATGAAAGCTGGTGCACGTGGTGAAGCTCTCTTGCCGGGCTCGTGAATAATGAATCGGTGTACACACGCGTTTGCTCAACGAGCTCGTTGATGGAAAAATAATCATGGCATATGTATCGATTGGTTAAAAAGTTTGTGGAATATCCACCTTTTCTTGCCACTGCCACGTATAAATCATCGAACCCAGCGACACTCGGTGAAATCGGCAAAAAAGCGCTTTGAATCTGTTTGTACGTAGTCACAATCATTATTAAAAAAAAGTCCTTCGCGCAGCAGCTAGAGGAGACAGGTTGGACGTACATTACGACACCCAATCGAGCAATATTTTAGTGAAAAGGCACAGAGGGAGGGCATAAAAAGCTGTGCCACATCCGATTGTCCTCGAGGGTGTCTTTGTAGATATCGGTCCCCGGGAGCAGATAGCCAATACGCCAAGGTACCTATATACCCCTGCTGGATGTTAACGTCGCGTGGGATCGTAAAAATATACGTACGTGGTTGGTATAAGCCCGAGAGGTGTTATATACGCTGATTGCGACTCGGTCTATGGCTTATTGGATGGATTTATCCGGTTGGCGGTGGTGTGATGTGCGATTAAACCCATATAATATACGTAGAGATAAGTATATATACCTGTACGATATTGTGCGTGACCTGGATGATCGAAAATTTTGGTTGGTACGACCGATACACGGTTATTCCTATCTTTGGATGAATGTTTATTACTGTAAATAAAATTTTTTTTAGCATTTTGCGCGAATAATTATAAATATGCCGATTTTACGATCATACCGATCATTCAAACGATACGGCTGTTTTCCTTTATGTAGGTATACCCTTCCGTGTGAGTAAGAGTATACTCACGCAGATCGATGTATATTGTGTGCTCTGGCTTCTATCGAGCTAGAAATGTGCGGTCGAGAGCAAAAGTGGTTGTGTAGCCTCCGAGATAGGTAATACGAGTTTCTAGTTTGATCGAGCTTTTGCGTGATCGGTTTCGATGTTTTGCAAGATGGATTGCCGTGCGATTTCAAAAATAGAGTTTTTTGGGTACGCCCTTTCTCTTTTCACAGCGAATACTTTTTTTTTTTTTTTTTTTTTTTCTCAAGCTGTCCTAGAAGATTGGCCTGTCGATAAAAAAAAAAACGCACAGATGTAAGTGTTTTTTTTTTTTTTTTTTGAGCAACTCAACGTCCCAGGGATAATTGACAAAAAAATATGCAAACGACAAAAACAACGAAATAAAATCGATCTCGGAAATGAAAAATTCACCATCAGCCGGAGCTTTCGCCATAACGCAAAGTACATTCTCCGCAAGGCGGGTTTAGCGTCAAACTTGGTCAATTTTCCCGGCGCTCTATATACTTACGTACCACTCGGCAACTTTCGCCCTGTAGGTAACAATGCATATCCCTTACTCAACTCTCTCAAAGTTCAACATGTTGTATTTAGTAGGTACAAAGTACATATATATATATATATATATATATATATATATATATATTTACGGCACTGCCACGCGTGTTTCGGATCATATTAGTTTGTACAAACAAATCGTATATCATAGGCGCCGACACCATCGTCATACTCTTTTAACGCGCGAGGAATCCGCAAGCGTTCCATTTGCAGGAAATTCCACCCCCCGGACGAACCCCCATAAAATAAACCGCGCATCGTCTAACATACACAAACGCGCTATCCATACACATATATACGTGTGAGTGTATATGTATACGCAACAGTGGGGGGGGGGGGGTACGTGTAATTTTATCGCGGCCCACACTCCATAAATCTTGAACCTTATGGGGCTGAAACTCTCCGGGCCCTTGTACGTATAATATACTGTAGCTATACGTATACACTGAGTCGTAAATGAAACGCAAACATATATAACGCCGAGGGAAGCGGTATACCGTATAATCGCGATTTTGTTTTCGCAAAAACACGCCCACCATACCTTACAAGTTCAAGAATGAACGATTTCACGTATCCTCCCTGTTTTCCATCAACAGGCGTATACGCAAAGAGCTAATCGCCAAAAAAAAAAGGGGAGTGTATAGAGGAGAAAAAGGAGAGGGTCTTCGCTCGAGGATGGCTGCGCGGGCCATCAGGATAACGGTGCGGACACCCAACGGGTTTACGAGGCATCGACGCCACCACCGTCAGCAGGGCAAAGTCGTCAGGAGTAGCGGCCGGCCGGCCTTCCTTCGTTTCAGCAGGTCCTCCTCGAGGAATCGACTGCCAGTCGGCCTACCACGGTACGTTTATCGCGTAATACTACGAGTATGGAAATGAGGTGTTTTTCCCAAGCTCAATATATGTTACACCATAAGTAAAATTATAGTTTACCCTTTTCCTACATATTACGTTTTGTCAAGCTTCGTGTACCCCCTCGTTGGCGAAACTGCTTAAGGTATAACTCTCGGGCTGTATTGTGCGTTATTTTTAACTTGGCTCTTGCAAAAGTTTTTGTGAAGCCTCCGTAAGTTGCGTAACTTCGTCTCGTCGTTTGGCGTGTATACCCTTACCGTGGTATTTATTTTTTATTTCACGCCAACTGTGAGTATTTCATTTGTCATACGATGGTTTTGGTTGAAAATTTCATCCACAAAACGAAACGAAACATATGTATATAA